ATTTGTTTCCTAGTGGGCTGGACTTGGGTGACCTGTAGTTTCTACAATACCCTTTAAGCATGACTTACACTCTTCCTCACCACCCTCCTTTTTGTACCTTCAATTCCCTCACTCCTTCGTGCCTTTGTCAGCTGCAGGGAGGTTTGCCAGGGACTTTACATAGTAAAAAGTGAAACAAAAAAAAAGGTGAAAATAACAACCCTAAAATTTTAAAAATTACTTTTAAATTGGCTTCATCTCTCACTTTTTCAGTGGGAAGAGCGGTGGCAAACCCAACGCAGAATATTTCTTAATTACTCAGGAGTAATTGCACATCCATCAGCCCATCCTGGGCAGCTAATTGCAGTGTTTCTAAGGGTGGTGCCGGTGCTGTGCCACACTGGAGGCTGTCACAGCCCGTGCTGTGCTTATCTGCCCCACCAGCCCTGCCCAGGCCGCTGTGTTGAGCTCTGATGTTTCCAGCAGAGCCTGGCAGGGCAGGGCTGGGTTTCTGCCTGGTGCTCCCAGCACGGTGGCTGTTCCACGGGGATGGGAGCAGCTCGGTGTTTCTGCCAGGATGCCCACGCTGGATCCATGCTGTGATTTTTGGGAATGTCCTGTGCAGGGCCAGGAGCTGCACACAACAATCCTCATGGGTCCCTTCCAGCTCAGGCTCTTCCACGATGCTCTCATCAGGTGACTCTTCGTTTTTCTGAGTTTTGGACATGCATCTCCTAAACCCAGTTGAGTGTAGGAACCCAAATGATTTCCTCGCTTTTTTCTGGAAGCAGGCGAGTTTCCCGTTCATTTGGCCCTTGCCAGTGGGACCCCGGCCACCCCCTGCCCTGCCCAGCCCCGCACTCAGCGCCCAGGACGAGGCCAAGCTGCGATTTTCCGGGTTAATTGCCAGGATGCCAGTGCAGGGGAGAGACAGAGATTCCTTTGTGCCGGCTCCAAGTGCCTCTGTTCCAGGAGAACCGACCTTGCTTTGTGTGCCCAGCCCTGGCCTGACACTGTTTGCTGGGCTGACAAAGACAAAACCAGGAATTCTTGGAGATTTTGGGTGGTGAGGTATCTCCTGGAGCAGCTCTCAGACACAGGAGGCCCAGTTCTGTTTTCCTCATGGGTTCAGGTCAGAAAATCCAGCGGAGCTGACATTCCTGAGTGAGCCACCACGTCGGGGTCCCGGGCTGCCCTCCCCTCCCTCCCTCACCCAGCGGGGAGAAAAACCCTTCTGAGGCAGCGAGGCAAAGAAAGATCCACCAGCAGCACCCAGGGAGAGCTGGGATCCTCCAAGTCCATCCATCCCTGCTCCAGCCAGGCCCAGCCCTGCAGCAGCAGCACCTGCAGTCCCACCGGCAGTGCCAGAGCACGGCCTCGTCCTGCTCGTGCCAAATGAGGAGAGGAAAGTCTGTGTTGGTTCTCAAGCACATGGGGAATAAAAGAAAAGCCAGAGAGTGCCCAGCAGAGCCCAGGGAGCAGCTGGGACAGCTCTGAGGGGATGTTCACAGACAGGACTTTGACACCTTTCCTCAGAGCCACCACTGCTGATGACAGACACTGCTCGGAGCCTTTTCCTTCCCCAGTGGGAAGAAAGCTGCCTTGGCTTGGCTTCCAGGGAAGTGGGGCAGCTGCAAAGCTGTGGAAACCACACAACAATCAGAGGAAAGAGGAAAGTGAGGCTGATGAGCAGATGCTGGCTCTGGGCCTCACCTTGGGTGGGAGCTGGGAACGGCCACAAAGGAGCAGTGTGCGATGCACCACATCCTGCCCGCAGGAATCCCCTGGGGGGTCCCAAGGTCAGAAAGGTTAAAAGCAGCCAGAGCTGGATAACCTCAGCCTGAGGAGCCTCCTGGGCTCTCTGTGTTTAGATATTTATATATGTATATGTATTTGTATATATTTGTATTTATATGTGAGTGGCACAGGTGCCCAGAGCAGCCGTGGCTGCCCCTGGATCCCTGGCAGTGCCCAAGGCCAGGTTGGACAGAGTTTGGAGCAGCCTGGGAGAGTGGGAGGTGTCCCTGCCATGGCAGGGGCTGGAACAAGTTGGGCTCTAAGGTTTCTTCCAATCCAAACCATTCCACAAGTCTGTGATTCTGTGCTTGGTAATTTTGGAAGACCGTGGTGAGGGAATAGCAAAATGCCCGTGGGATCTCAGCAGCTCTTGGGGAAAGGCTGTGGCAGTGGATTGATGCTGGTCATGATGGAGCAGGAACTGCAGGGAGGAAACATCTCTGGGAGCCAGGGGAGAAGGACAAATGGATTCTGTCAAGTTAACTTGATCTATTTTTAGATAAAACTGTAATTAAGCCAGTAGTTGATAACAGCAGGACTTTTAAGGTAATGGGGCTTCTGTTACATATCTAAATGCAACGTGGCACATATTAAATGAATCAGGAGATGTCTGTTTTCCCTGGAATGTAATTACAGGGAGGCCTGCTCAGGGTATCCAGGAGAGCCCTTTGGGAGGCAGCTCTGGACTCTGAGCTCATGCCCAGCCGAGTAAACAGCATCGGTTCAGTGTCTCAGGTCATTTGTTAAAATACAAAGCTGGGAGTCATTCCTCAGCTGGGGCTGCTCCCTCCTGGGAAACAGGGACTGGGAAACACCAAAGGGATCCTGGTGAAGGAGCCAGCACCGAGAGCCACGTTCAGGACAAATAGAGTCACTGTCCTGGGTCTGCCTGGGCGAGTGCTGGGTCCTGGCAGAGACCAGGGAGGGCAGGAGGATCTCAGTGAGCCTCAGGCTCCTGTCTGGCCCCCAGGGGCAGAGCCCCGAGCCCACCCCTGCTCCTGCAGGAACAGAATCCACACCTGGGGCAGCTGCAGCGGCTTTTGGGAACCCCCTGGGCCACCAGCTGCTCCCTCGGTGTGACAGCAGCGGTGCACAGGGACAGCTGTACCGCCTGCCACCGGCTCTGCTGCCACCCAGATGTGCTCCAGCTGTGGATGCTGCACCCTCACCTGCACCGGCCTCGGAGAGCCCGTGGCTGCCAGATGTGCCGCAGCCAGACCAGCTGTGCCCCGCTCCAGCTGTGCCCTGCTCCAGCTGTGCCCCACTCCAGCTGTGCCCGGCTCCAGCTGTGCCCCTCTCCAGCTGTGCCCTTCTCCAGCTGTGCCACTCTCCAGCTGTGCCCGGCTCCAGCTGTGCCCCTCTCCAGCTGTGCCCCTCTCCAGCTGTGCCCCTCTCCAGCTGTGCCCCTCTCCAGCTGTGCCCCGCTCCAGCTGTGCCCCTGGCAGGGCCAGCGCCCCCGCTTTGCCCCAGCTGTGCCCGCCCCATCCAGCTGTGCCCAGCTGCGCCTGCTGCGGCTCCGCGGTGCCCTCTGGCGGCCCCGGAGCCTCCCTGCGCCTCCCTCTCCTGCAGGATTTCCCCAGCTCCGTCATTCTATTCACCATTTCCTTCATTAAAACCTCCCCTACCTTTATAAAGTGACTTTTCCCCCACCCCTTCCGTCTTCGATGATTGCTGAAAGGAAAAGTGGCTTCGTAGTTCTAGATACCAAAATTCACCTTGTTATAATAAAAAGTCAAATGTGGAGAGACTGCAAGAGGAAAGCTCTGGCCCTGGTGAGAGTGCCCCTGAAAGGAGAGCACTTAGTAATGTCAGAGATCAATTCCTTATTTCACATAAAACTGGTTAATGGGAAGCAGAAATAAAAAAACAATTAAATAATTCTTTAATAAAATAATATGATTTAATAGCTTTACCTATTTAGTCTACATTCAATATATGTATACTATATTATACATATACTATATTATATGTATATGTATATAGTATATACATATACTATATACTTAATATATAGAGTATTTTTTTAAAAAAAATAAAGACTTAAATGGGTTGAACAAATAAGTGACATCTAATTTTGGACCTGATTTTTCCCCATCTGTAGCACCCGTTGAAGGACCCATTTCTCTGTAACCCAAATCACACCCACCTCTGACTGAGGTGGGTTCCGTCCTTCACCTGCCCCTGGTGATTCACAGTCAGTGCCAAACCTTCAGCTTCTCCCGGATCTGAGGGAAATTCGGGTTTCCCTGAGACTCATCTCAGGGACCTTTAACGAGTTTTAGTCACTCAAAGACACAATTCAGGCCCTCACCCTTCCCACCACCCCTCGAAAGGGCGCGGTGAGCCCGCAGTGACACTCTGGGGACAGCCAGACCCAGCGACACATCCCTGACAGCCGCCCCACATCTGCAGCCTGTGAGCCAGAGCCAGGCTGTCCCTCCCCGTGCCCCCTTCAGCTTCCATCCAGCGGCTCGAGAGACACAAACAGGATAAAAATAATCACCCTGACAGCGCTGAGCGTGTGGCACCAAGCTGTCCCCAGGGGTGGCCTCGGGGGAGACCCCGGGCAGGCATGGGCAGGATGGCCACAGGATCCTGCACAAGGAGTGGAGGAGCCCGCAGAGCTGCTCGTGTCCCTGTCCTGTCCCTGTCCCTCTCCTGTCCCTGTCCCTGTCCCTGTCCCTGTCCCTGTCCCTGTCCCTCTCCTGTCCTGTCCCTGTCCTGTCCCTGTCCCTGTCCCTGTCCCTGTCCCTGTCCCTGTCCCCCTGTCCCTGTCCCTGTCCCTGTCCCTGTCCCTGTCCCTGTCCCTGTCCCTGTCCCTGTCCCTGTCCCCCTGTCCCTGTCCCTGTCCCTGTCCCTGTCCCTGTCCCTGTCCCTCTCCTGTCCCGCATCAGGGGGCTGATGGCAGCGCCCGGGGCCGGGGCTCGCCGCGGTTCATTCCAAGGCTGCTGCACGCTCCGAGCATATTTTTAATTATTTATCTCCCGCCAGCTTCCTGCCAGGCTGCTCTGGGGGAAACGGGCACGAAGAGGGGAATAAATGGTGCCAGGGCACTCGGATCCTGCAGCCAAGGCGGTGCCAGCCCTGGGATGGAGAGTGACGGGCACGGGGCGCTCCCCGCCGCTCCCATCAGCGTGCCATCCCTTTAGGGACATCCCTTCTGTCCCCAGGGCTGGAAGGGACAGACAGGACAGGACAGGGAGAGGGCTGGTGGCAGGGTTTGTCCCTCGGGCGGGCGCGCAGAGCTCCTGGAGCGGCCTCGGGGAAAGGGGGAGGCTGGATCCAATCCTTGTCTTTCACCTGGGCTGGAGTCCAGCCCCAAAATAGCCGTCCAAAAACAAGATCACATGAGAGGAAAAAAATAGCAAGGCGCAGGATTATCCATCCACAGCTCCCGGTCCTATGTGGGCTCCGCCGGGCCGGCTGCGGGAGCCGCTCGGGGCAGGGAGAGCCCGGCACATCCCCGCTCACCTCCGGCCAGCGCACCTGCAGCCTGCTCGGGTGAGTGCCTTCTCCACATCCCCGCCGCCTTGGC